CCCCCCGCCGCAACAGTGGTGGTCAAGGATGGGGTGGGGCCGCCGGTGGGAGTCAGGCTAACGCAAAGACCGAGCATTTTGCCAGTAGCTGCGCCTCCCTTTTCATCGTCCCCCACCCCCAACCGAATAACAGCAGTGTCTAAGGCCAACACTCTCCCACACACCATTGCTGAGTCTTTATACATATAGTCGAACAGAGATATCTATATATCTATCTATCTATCTATCAAGAGAGAGAGAGAGAGACAGAGAGAGAGAGAGAGAGAGATTTTACAACTTCATAAGATCTTCCTGTAGATGACAGGGAACAACAAAACAAGACGAAAAGAAGACAAACAAACACGATTGGGAAATCGACCTGCAGCTTCTCCTCACCTGTGCTGCAGTAAGCGAAAAGGTCAGCTATTGCCACAGCAGCAGCAGCAAGAGATTTGTTTTCTTTTTCTTCTCTCTCTTTGAAAGGAAGACGGCCTTGAGATACCCCAGGGGAGGAGAGGTTTCAGGACAGCGGCCCAGTATTGGCCAAAATCTGTGCCTAGACTAGCCTTCTCCTTGCAGGCGAGCTTCGCTGGTAAGCCAAACTGGCTGATGCTGTCAGGATAAGGGCGTCGTTAGACACTCCTTACGAGTTCCTTGAGCCACAAGGAATTTTCCTGTTGGCTCGTAAGGGAATTTGGCGGTGGCGTTCCACACATCCTTGGGGACGTCACCCGAGGATGTTTCCTTGTGGCCTGCCCACGGCCATTTTCATATGAAGCTATGCAGCCGCAGGTGGGGTGTCCGTGGTCCAGCGTCCGGTGTCCGTGTGGAGACGGCGTGGTCCAGCGACGTCCGGCGGAAAAGGGCATGAGGCAGGCCACAAAAAAAAAAAAAAAAAAGGGGACCTCTACGTTTGAAATTCAAAATTTGAAGTACAGCTGTGGTGACCACGACGATGTTCGGCTTGCAGCACGCAGACGGTGCAGGGCTGAGTCGGCCTTAGCGGCGGTGTCCCTTCCGTCCACCTCCCGGTCAGTGTACGTGCATGCACCGGGTGCGTCCATCACTGTTGAGCTTCTCCTCCACATCGTCCGCGCCATCACACATTGTTCCGTCAGGGGGACGACATCCACGGAAAGGCGGCAGCTTCACGGACCTCTCCTCGGGGGGTGAGCGGGTTACATCTCTGGGGTGCGAGGATTGAGACGGCAGCGGAGAGACGTCATCCCTGTGGAGATGGTGGCAATGGACTCGGAGGGCGGCGGAGAGGGTGGACGTGCGCTGTTGACACCGCTTGAGCGGGCAGCCATGGAGGCGGCCGTGTCAACCGTTATTCTTCGTTGTCAGCAGGAGAGGGTGCTGGACGAATGAAGGAGCAGTTGCGTGCAAGTAGAAGAAGGACGCTGATGCAAGCTGCGGATGTGGCAACTTCGGAGGCTGTCATTGAGCTGTGCTGCACATTGGGTTGCGGCGTCATTCCACGAGCAACACCGAGGTGGTGGATCAAACGCAGGACGGGGGGGACATGGGAAGACCTTCAACAATGCGACGATGTCACGGATGACTACTTCAAGGAGAAGCAGCACAGCGACGAGGAGCAGCGGAGGGACCACCAGAAGCAGCACAACGATAAGGAGCAGCAGAGGGAGCCTGCGTTACTGGTTGGCCATGAACTGCACGGTGGAGAGGGCAGCAATGAGCACACGACGACGGAGARGGCAAGAGTCTTATCGGACGTGCAACATGTGATGACATGCATGGGAATACGACGCTTGTGAAGAAACCTCTTTTGTGGATGGACTGAGGGTGCCGCCGAGGGAAAAAAAAAATTCCGACCGTTGATGCCGGTCGAAAACGACGCCGCCACCCGATGGAGGCCCACCGCCAACAGTAGTCGTTTGGGGGCGTTGGGGGACTACACGTATGTTCCTTGAGAGCGCGAGACCGCATGATGCCGGTCGAAAACGACGACGCCACCCGATGGATCCCCACGCCAATAGTAGCCGTTGGGGGACGTTGGGGGACTACGCAGATGTTGGAGGGCAGGGATGTCCGTGCTAACTCCGCTGGACCACATTTGGACCACCTAAGAACCAAAACTCTCCGTTGACGCATGTCTGTGACGAACCAGCTTCCGGACCTGCGCCAACTTTCGGACCCATTCACTCCCCCGTCGTTTCTCTGCATCTAGATGTGTCTCGTTCGACCCCCAGGAACCTGTCTCTTATACACATCTAGATGTGTATAAGAGACAGGATTAGCACTTTGTGTTTCACTCATGCAGAACGGAATTGCGGCCAGATGCATACACCTTTGTCCGTAAATGCGGTCAGGTACACTTAAGATAGTGGTAGCGTGAGTACGCCCTCAAGACGGCTTTGCCATGGCCGTCGATCTATTTGTTGATCTTGGGCTGAGAACTAATTGAAGGCGCTACACCACTGCGAGGGCGTACTCACACTCCGTAGCTGTATCTCAAATGCGTCAGACCGCATTTATGGCCGCTCCGGGAGGCATCGGACCCGAAATACGTCCACATCCACAAACAAGTAAAAATGTCCTACCGCGTCGTGTGAGTATGGCTTGAGACCGGCCAATGAGCGAGGCGGGACGAAGAATGGACGAGATTGCCCTTCCGCTCCTCTGCGCGGAAGATTCCCCGTGCGCGCCGTCCAGGATACGTGACCAGGATAGAGGTCTTGCACAAGGGCCTTTAAAAAAAAAAAAAAAAAAAAAAAAAA